CAGCCCTACAGTCAAACGCTCTTTCAGAATTTGCTCTAGTGTAAAACCACACTTAAGATGTTCTTCTAGTTACAATACATTGGAAAGCAAAACCCATTCCGTCCCTTAATTTTGTCTGGGCTCTAGTTTTTAGCAGGGAACTGAAAGTACAATTCTGTGAAATAAAAGACATTACACTTCAAGATCACGGGCATTGTGACAAAACATGTGATTCTCACCTTGTCGACTTTATTAAGCTGCACATTTTCCAGATCTTCCATGATATACTCCAAAATACTGATGTGACCCCTCTGGGCAGCACAGTGCAAGAGATTCAAGCCATTCTGAAAGAAAACCAGAGACAGTTCAGTCAGTGAGATGCATTGAAATTAATGTTGAAGTCTTAATGTAGGCCAGTACACGCGTCGATCTCATTTGTATTGGTTAGTGGTCTTTAAAAGCTTAGAGCACAGTCAACCGTGAGAGAACAGAGCACATCGAGTGAGATAGTACCACTGTCTTCTCATAAGATATCTGAAAGGATTTTTCCAATAGAGTCTTACTTTGTTTTCACAGGAGAGCTTCGCCCCAGTTGAGACAAGGACCTTTAGGATCGAGAGGTGACCAAACCATGCCGCTAAGAGCAGAGGGTTCATACCGAACTGGAAAACAATCAAGAATCTAGTCAAAAACAGTATTAGCATACAGTGACTCTCTTAATTATTTAATAATCACATTCCAGTGATGAGTACATGTGTAGATCCTTCTGCTAGCATTAGTTTAATTCCCAGGGAATAAACATTCCAGTAAAACTGCTGGCTTGAATGTATTGCTTTGAGTCACTTAAAAGTATCCACCAAATACATTTTAATAATGGAGTTAAACTGACTTTTTTTTCAGCAAAAGCATATGAATGACATATTGAGACATGCGGTATACTTCATCAAAATCTTTTATAAATAGCATGTTTTTAATACTATTTTAATTTTCTGTTAAATTTTCTAAAATAAAACTGCGTGTTATAATTAAATTAGTTATACTCACAATACTACTTGAGGGACTACATGGAAAATTTGTATTTTAAAAATGAAAGTCACTCCACAGGACCACTTATGTAAACAACAAAAACCTGATTCAAATATGTTGACCATCTAAAAAAAATATACTCTTCCACTTATAATTTAACATTAATTTTAAGCTTAAATTTCATTGTGACGTTTTAATTATCTCTTGCATTTCATGGCCACCATTTGTTGTTGGTGTGACAAGTTTGTGCACAAATTGGATTTTTATTTTCATCAACTGCATATGCAGTGACAAATTATTTAACATGCTATAATTTATCTAAAATATTATTTTAAAAAGCATTTTTCAGATTTTTTTTAATTCTCTGTATAATTTTATAAAATAATTTAAAATTACGCATTCAGCTCTTAGTACAGTATATAAAAAAATAAAAATACAAAAAAAATTAAATAAAAATTGTCACCCAGTAGAAGTATTTATGTAAACTGCCAAAAAAAAAAGAAAGAAAAAAAAAAGCTGACCATCTAAAAAAAAAATATATATACACACTTTTTCACTTATACTTTAACATTAATTTAAATCTTAAATTTTATTGTGACGTTTTAATTATCTCTTGCATTTCATGGCCACCATTTGTTGTTGGTGTGATAAGTTTGTGCACAAATTGGATTTTTTTCACCAAAATGCATATGCAGTCACACTAAATTTCTGTATAATTTTATATAATAATTTTACAATTATGCATTCAGCTCTTAGTATATGAAAAAAAACTACAATACAATTTTTTTTACACCTCGTAGGAGTATTTATATAAACTTCCTAAAAAAATTTAAAAAAAGGAAAAAAAAAAATCATACTTTTACTTAAACGTCTGTATAAATTAATCATGATGTGTTCTTATAAAAAATATCCCCAGGCACATATTAGTCAACTGCTCAGTTATCTAAGAGTTTTGCCTTGCAATTCAGGGCCATGCTTTGTCTCTTCAATCGTTGTTGGTGTAACAAGCTCATAGCCTCCAGTAATTTACAGGCCACATGGTGAATGAACAGCAGTCCATTAAAGATTTATCCAGTGGAGCAGTATTTCACTTATTTGTGCTCATACAGTAAATAAACACGGAACATAAAACATTCAGCCTGAAATGTAACTACATTTGAACCGGTTCAACAAAATGCATTTGACACGTACGCAGTCCATATCATCCACCTCCATGTCGTGGTCCAGCAGTAGACGCACTGCCTGCTCACTGCCGGCTCCTGCTGCCCAGTGAAGGGCCTTACGGTCCATCTGTAAAACCAAAATCACATGGAAAAATGAAACAGCCATTGACTCATTAGGCATTATCGGTCATGTTTTTAGGTGATAAATACTGTTGTCTAGGGTAAAATAAGGGTCATATCCTGTGCTGAGGACCACAACATGTGCGTTTCAGTCTCTCTGGTGCATAACTGGGAAAAACATTCAAGGCGGAGAAACTGGCATGGTGAATAGCAACATAACTTCCTCTGACACAGCTTCCTGCAGCATGCTTCGCTCGGCTTTCTTCACCGTGCCACCATGTTTAGAAGTGTACACCATGGTTTATTTGGTTATGAATATATATTTCTTATTACATCTTAAATCAAGTTGCCAATTTTAAACCTTTCCAAGGGCATTTACAAAGACTGTTCTTTTACTAGAAAGACTGCTTTAGACTGTCTAGTATAATGCACATAATCATAGTACAGTGCATGTAGATCTGCATTGTTCATACGTTTCTGCATTGGCTATATCTCACCTTATTTTTGACTTTGATGTCCACCCCTCTTCTGATGAGCTCCTGCATTCTCTCCGTGTCGTTCCTCTTCGCAGCATCATGGAACTCCTTCTCTGAGCGAAGCACTGGAGTGGAAGGTGACAGGAGTTATATGTGGTGTGCACAGGTAGAAACATCAGCAGGATCCATGATTATCCACATGCATCAACAATATTCATATCTAATGTTTCTTACCATTTTTATAGATGACTTCAATCTAGGTTTTAGATTCCATTCTATTCGAATTTTATACATAATCAAGATTAAGGATCGATTACGGATTTGGGAAAAACAAAGAAATGTATAATATATAACAATTAGATATTAGTAATAAATAGTATAATAGATTTTCGGCTGTAAATGTGTTGAAGAATCCAACAAAGCCCTATTAAACGAGTCTCTTTAGTCTACTATATAACATTTTTATCGCTAACTATTTAGTAACCACAGCTAGTTTTAGAAGCAATATAATACAACGAGATGCATATATGAGAATATACTTCTCTCACGTGCCCTAGTTAGTGTCCGTACCACACTACAACACTGTCAGTTTTTTTCTTTTCAGCATTTTAACACTCACATATATCGTCTTCAGACACCAGTCCGTCTTCCATCGCCATAATGTGCGCCTCTTCTGATATAGGTCTACATTTTCGTCTTTTGCCGTTATGTTCGGCTGTGTTTCAGTCTGATTCTCGCACAGCCGATCTCAAGCCTGCCGCTTTTGGGAAATGACAAATCCTGCTGAAGCGAACGAAGGTTTGGCTCATGAATATTAATTACGCCATGCGGACGTTGCTTCGTGTTTGTCCTATGGATACGGCTGGGATCATAAATATTAATTACATTGTGCTGAAGTCACTTCCAATGGCGACTTGGCAGTTGATGAATATTAAATAGGTTATGTCGACGTCGCTTTGTGACGAAAGGCTAGTTATGAATTATAGTTTAATAGTATCGCCATCCGGGTAATTAATGTGACAGACAGCAGATGTCATTTTTATGGCATCATATACAGTGAAAGTTAAGCATCTTCCTCCTCAGGTAAACATACAAGAACAACTTAAAGAAAAAAAAAAAATAAATAATAATAATAATATAAAAAGTTGAAAAAGTCTGATATTG